GCAGGTAATCGATGTTCTCTCTCATCAATGTTTCTATCTCTACCCCTCCCTTCCTCTCTCTAAAAATCAATAAAGAAATAAAAAAAGAGAGAGTTTACCATATACAAATTGGCAGAGAAGGTACACCTAAAACCAGGCCATTATGTTCCTCTAAAAAATAATAATAAAAAAACCTTTAAAAATTAAGTAAGGGACAGGCCGGGCCGGGGCCGGGGTGGGCGGGGCCTAGCGGAGCCCAGGCCAGCCTGGCAACGTCCAGAGCTTGCTGCACCGCTTCCTGCTCACCGGCTCTGCTCCTCACTCCATTCAACGCGGCAATAATGTCCAGCCCTAAAGAGACTGGACGGAGCATCGAGTCTTCGACTGCTGTTTTCCGAAGGTATGCTGGAAAGGACAGTAACTGCCACACACTCTCCAAGACTGAGTTCCTAACCTTCATGAATACAGAACTGTCTGCCTTCACAAAGAACCAGAAGGACCCCAGTGTCCTTGACCGCATGATGAAGAAATTGCACATCAACTGTGATGGGCAGCTAGATTTCCAAGAATTCCTTAATCTTATTGGAGGCTTGGCGTCAGCTTGCCATGAGACCTTACGCCATTCCCAGAAGTATATCTGAGGAGCCCTTGGAGCTGGCCTCCAGACTTGGCCCCTTTCCTTCCAGCTTCCCAGTCATTATCATCTTCTCAGGGACCACACAGACCGAGCCCAGCGCACCTTCCGCCCCCTGCAGGCCTCTCCTGGAGCAACACGGGTGGTAACAAAGCATATTTTTTAAAACACACACACACAAAATAAAAATTAAGTAAGTGAGAAAGAGGGTTTCTGGTATAGATTTTGGGCAAAGTAGGCACGGCCCTTTCCTCACCCAGGAAAACATTTTGTCTCATCTGTTGGTTAGCTGATTAATGAATTCATTCATTCAAAAAAATATTTACTGAGTGCCTGCTCTATACACTGAAAGGAGTTGGGAAATGTAGTGAAATGGAGAGCAAGATAGACTCAATTCTCTTCCCTTATAGTGGAGTCTACATTATAATTAGGGAGGCAGATAACAAACAAATAATATGTAGTCAAAATATCATGCCATGCCAAGTGCTATGAAGAATAAAGCAGGATCAGGAGGAGAGACTGATGGGGAACTTTCAGAGGATACTTCTGAGCAAAGACCTGGATGTCTGGGATTCCCCAAGCTTGCACTCTGTGGGTCTGCCAATGCTAATTTTTGTCTAGCTTCATTGAGATATAATCGATACAATATTGTCTGAGTTGAGAGTGTACAATGTATTGACTTGCTACTCTCATATACTGTAAAATGATTACCACCATAGTGAATACTAAGTATCTTAAAATACTTGCAATCAGGAGGTGGGGAGGCAAGCAGGTGGCTGGCAGCACTACGCCAGCATAGGGGTTTCAAGACCTCAGGGGCTGGAGGGAAAGCAGACACCTCATGGCTGCTGGGGGCAGATATATACATCCCAAGGAACACCCAAGGACCACTCTGAGGAGCCCATAGCCTCCAAAGGGAACCTGAGACAGATTCAAACTCAACCAGTAATTATTAAGTGCCTGCTCTGCACACAATGCACTGAGCAGTACACTTTCACCCTATTATTTACCTGGTAGCCTGCCTATTCAGCCATGGAACTCCCATTGATTAGAGCTATTCTTGAGATGACCATATGCCCCAGTTTGCCAGAACAGATCTGGGTTACAACTGTTGTCTCAGAGAAATTATTTATAGTGTTCCCTTTCACTCTCAAAAGTGTCTCAGTTTGGACAATAAGTTACATGATCACCCAAGGGTTCCTTATCTATAGTAGATTGATAAACTCAAAGCCCTAGGGTGGTATAATTAGCTTTTGTTCAACAAGTGTTACCTAGTGCCTTCTGCTGTCTGCTGCTCTGTTAGGTTTGGGGAACGTAAAGATGAACATGTGGTCTGTGCCCTGGAATACCACACTGTAATTGGTTGAAACATATATAGTACATAAACAAATACAGCGACAGGAATGCACATAAAGTGTGATGGGTGATGTGGGCATCAGTGGCCTGGCCTCCCTTGTAAAGTCCTTGGGCTGATCAAAGAACTGGGAATGAAGCCACACTCCTTTACAGCATCCCTGTTACCCAGAACTCAACGAGATCTTAGAAATCTAACCTGGATTCTTATTCCCCTTTGAGGGCCTCTCCAGCTACCCATGCCATCTCCCTGACCTCTGACTGCTGGAGTGCTCCAGGGCGCATCTCCTGGACCTGTCCTTCTGCAGACAGACCCCACCCTAGCATAGCCCTCAGGGGCCCAGTCCTTCCTCTATTCCAGTCAGTGAGTACCCACATCGTAATCAACATCTCCACTTGGATGCCTGATAAACATTTCAATCCTAACAGATCCAAAAGATTTTCATGTCACCTGCTTCCAAACCATAAACCTTGTCATTTGTTCCCTTCAAATGCTTTCCAGTTTAAGTAAATGGCCACTCCATTCATACAGCTGTGCAAACATTAAAAAAAAAATTTTTTTTTTTCTTTATCGATTTGAGAGAGAGAGAGGGAAACATCGATTGGCTGCCTTCTGCATGCCCCCCACTGGTGATTGGGCCCACAACTTGAGCACGTGCCCTGACCAGGAATCAAACTGGAGACCTCCTTGTGCATGGGTCGACGCTCAACCACTGAGCCACACAGGCCAGGCTAGACAAACATTTTTGAAATTATCTTTGACTCTTCTGTTTACCTAATGTCCCACATTGAATCCCTCAGCAAATTCTTTTGGCTTTACCATCAGTGTACATTGAGACAATGTTTTCTAGTCCAAGCTAGTGCAGTTTCTCGCCTGTTTTACTGTGGAAGCCTCATAACTGGCCTCCCTGCCCCTTTCCCACCCCAACTTAGGTTATTCTCAGCAAATCACCCAGTATTACCCTTCATAAGACAAGTCTGACCTGCCAGCAGCTCCCCACGTTGCTTGAAGTAAAGCCTGAGTCCTTACCACACTGTCACAGTCCCTACATGCTCTGGCCTGGGATCACCTCCTAAACTCTTTTCCTCCCATCTGTCTCTCATGTCCTTGCTGTTCCCTCCCTCTCCTTTTCCAGATGTTTGTTCAACTATCACACTAGTGTGGTTCTCTTTACGAATCCTGTCTGCAGTTTCATCCCCCACCCACCCCTGCACTCCCTATTCCCTGACTTATTTCCCCCACAGACTTATTTCCACCTAACAGGGTTGCTAGATAAAGTACAGCATGCCCAGTTAAATTTGAATTTCAGATAAATAATAAATCATTCTTAACATAAGTATGTCCCAAATATTGTATGAAATATACTTATACTAAAAATAATATTCTTTGTTTAACTTAAATTCAAATTTAACCAGGCAAATTTTTATTTGCAAATCTAGCAACCCAGCCATCTAGCATTCTATATATTTTACTTATTTGCTCATTATCTGTCTCTACTGCCCCCATCTGCCCAAACTTAGCCCTTAGAATATAAATTCAATGAAGGCAAGTACTTTTAGTCTATTCACTGCCAGATCCCCAGTAGCTGAAACAGTGACTACTACATAACAGGTGCTCAATATTCACTTAGCAAATGAATAAATGGAAAAAGGGATCACACTGTCTCATCGTGACCATCTCCAGTCTCTCAAGCATCTTTGAATTGCTGTGCTTGTTTGAAAGTTATTTCTTAAATTGGTCCCATTCTAACAGCCCTTCTAGATTCTGAGTCATTTATTTCAGCAAAAACCCACAGGCTGGATTCCTGCCTTAGGATTCTGTCCTATCAAATAAAGGGGGGAAGGGAGAGGAGGAAGCCTTATCTCTTGCTGAACCCCACTGACCAGGCAACTTCAAGGAGAATGCTCTGCTTTGGAAGTGCAAACAGAGCCTGGACTGATGAATGTAAGGCTCAGAGATTTTCCAGGGTTTACTGAGCTTAAAGTTTCCTGCATTTCACTGGGGGGTGGGGGGTGGGGTGGGGTCTGTCTCCTGTAATTGCATTTTCTTCTGTCTGGCTTACTTTTGCATTTCAGTGTGGATGAGTCATTTGTTACTTCCTTTCAGCCTTTAAACACACACACACACACACACACACACACACACACACACACACACACCTTTTCCCCTGTGCATAATACCTACTCCCACTCACAACACTGCAGACCCAAAAGCAAGTCTATTAGTTACTAACTGGGCCAAATGAACCTGGGGTTGGGTGGGTAGGGTGGTTTATGAACATGCTGCCTGTATGATGCTATATGATAGGCTCTGGCATCAGAGACGTCACACCCTGGAGGGCAGATCAGTCCTTTCTCTCCCAACCCCTCTGTGAAATTTCTCTGGAACAACATTAGCTTCTGGAAATTCCCTACTGAAAAGGCAAGTCTATTCTAAAAACAATTAAAGGGAAACTGCCCAGAGAAAATTCACCAAAATTGTCTAACAACTCTCAACGTTTGAATTAAAACACAGAAGATTCAGAGTTCCATCTATAATCCAGATGTGCGCCTGCTCCCCTGCTGTTCCGATCTGTAAAGTGAAACATCCCCAAACTATCTGATTTACCTCGAAAATACTACAGAACTTGCATCCACCTCGCAGCTGCTCATGAAATCCCCCAGCCAATGAGTGGAAATGCTGCAGCCCCAGAAAGAGCTCCAAAGCAACAACTGCTCTCCCCCCCACCCCCAGCGCCGGAGCAATGAGCACGCAAAGCTGCTTTTAGCGATAAATTGGTCACTGCCTAAAGGTACAGCAGCTACAGACTGCTTACTGTGCTAAAATGAGACATCACCACTCCACTTCACAAATTCCTGCCCCAGACAAAGTCAAACCCGAGAATTCACAGCTCTCCACTCAGTTTTGAAAACGCACCACCCCAAGAAATACGCCTTTTCTTTGCCCGGCGCCCCGTCTCCAGTTATAAAACGCAGCAAGCGGCGAGGGACACGCGTAACTGTAACTCCATCTTTGAATGAGCCTGTTACTTACCCCGCGTGTGTCTGCTGTCTGCTGAGTAAGGACGGCACGGCTCACATTTCTGGCTTTCATTTTCTTCCATTGTCCCTGCCTACAGCACCAGCTCCCTCCGCTCTTTAAACTTCCCAGCGCAGTTCTGAAAGCTCTCAGAAAGCGCCTGGAAGGAGATCCGGGGGTGGGGAGGAGGAGACGGTGCGAAACCCCACCCCAAACTATTCTCTACTCCGGTGCAAAGTCTCCGGGGCTGGAGAAAAGTGCATTCCAGCGCGGGGCCTCCCGGTGTCTCGGTGCGTCCCGTCCTCCCCCGCCCGGCCCGGAGCGATGGGGGCTGTGCTCCGAGCCCCGCCGCCCCTGCCGCGGGCTGACCCGCGCGCGCGCTCCCGAGGCCCCAACAGGTGACGGGCCTTCCTCCCGGGACACAGACGCCTGTTTCCACCGCGGCAAACTGCCGAGACTTCGCAGCCAGGGGGTGGGAAACATGTCACACGGGATCACCGGCGTGAACCTTCTGGTCTCTTTAATCTCAGACACTGAATCAGCCTCTCTAATTGGCTGATACACATATTCATAAACAGCCAGCTGATGAAAGTACCGCATTTCAGCGAAATCCCTTTAAAAATTTTTTTTTTTAGAAAGAGTATATGATGACTGTTGTTAAGTAAACACTTTCTGGCACTACTTGGAGCCTGATTAACATACACCGAGTTTTACTTTTGACACAGTTCATTTCAATCACTTAAACTGGGCTTGGAAAGGAGCGTACTCTTTTGCCTACACTGTGACCGACCCCCCCCCCCCCACACACACACACACACTCTGTGGATCACAGATCTGAAAAGTAAACTAGTAAAATCAACTTTCTGAATCTCTCAAGTTAATTACCTTAAGATAGCTGAAAGGCAACTAAAATGGATGGGCAGAGATACGTTCAAGTTCCTTTCTCCTTTTAAACTACCTACAAATATTTATTTTGTTTTTTACCCAGTTCTTGAAAGACTGGCAAAATTCCCAGAAAGTGCGAATAGGCACAATGTTCACAAAAAAAGATGGGAAAATAATCTAAGCACCATCAGCTCTGCTATTTCAGCTACCTAAAGCAGCGCAACCACCAGTAGGAAGTGTGACATTGGAATGTGTGGCGGCCCATTCATTTGGGTGGGGAGGACAATGGTTACCCTGCTGACCATACCTTGACCCAGTTTACAGGCCAATCAGGCAGGGTTTTAGATTAATTTAGATAAAGAATTCCTGCAGAACAATGGCTAACCTATCCTCCAGATTTTAACCTTGAGTCCCTGTGCATTTGGCAGTGTGGGGACTTATTTTGGCCATTTAAACAAAAAGATGTGGACAAAGTATATAGACCAAAAGGAAAGTGGACATGCCAGGGAGTGAGCTAAACTCACATGGGGAAGGGAAGAAGAGACCCCTCAACTCCTAACAGGACTTCCCTTGAAATCTAAGAGGTGGCGGATCTTCCAGAAAGTCAAAGTCATGCCTGGCAGCATGAATTCATGCACGCAGTTGGGTTGACAGGGCAGACAACGCAAGGTCTTCATGATTTTGAAATGGAATTAGTTGGTAATCTTGCTTTAAGGAGAAACTAATTTTACACTGTATCTGTACTGGTGGCCTGCAAAACTGGTTTTAACTTTACTATGTCCTTGGGTTCAGGAGGGATCTGAATTCAGGTCTCCAGGTCCAGATTATTTTGATCCTTGTATAGCTGTTGTCATTTGTCTTCAAATTATTAATGTCAAAAATGGATGGGGGTCTGATGAGAGAGAGAGAGAGAGAGATTGCAACTCCAGAGTATCAGTCTAAACCAGATGTCTCTGGTTGTGGGGCTCCAACACCAAGCTGATTTTCTTTTGTGAACAGCCTGCTCCTAGCAGCTCCTACCTGTCACTTGACACAGCCCAGAGACAAAATCCCCAGAATAAAAGAGATAAGAGTGCACCTACAACAGATAGCACCCTATCCTGTCCTGTCCCAAGGGACGGGGTGTGTGTGTGTGTGTGTGGGGGGGGGGTTCCTAACTAGCTCAATTTATGTAGAAAAAAATCCATGTTTAGATGCAGACCATACTTTCTTGGGGCTGTCTGAAAAGTGTGAGAGCAGCCCTTCAGGGGCCCCGTTGATCCCCAGATGGGCATAATGGAGGCAGCTCTTCCACTAGTTCTGAACTTTGTTTAGTTTTCAGGCAGCCAAGGCACCCCTCAGTGGACCACGTGCTCAAACTGCTGGGACCCTCTCCTCCCCCATGGGCAAAGCAGACTGCCTCCTCTGTAGATATTCCTCAAAGCCAAACTGCGTGGAATGCACAACAGGGAAAGGCATTCACAGTGAAGCTAATTTACATAAATCATCAAGGTCCATGAAATCTAGACATATATTACAGCACAACATGTTCTCTTGAATAGTTCAACTTCCTGACCGTTCTGTGGGGGAAGGCTTCATTTGGACTAGTTACTAGCCCTTTGTTCCTCCTCCCTGAGTACAAGAACTGCAGACAACTTGAGAAGGTACTGTGTTCGTGCCGTTGTCACTGACTATACAACTCTCCCCAAAGCACACAGACCATACTCAAAACTTTTTGCTGAATGCCAGTTTCTCGGGGAGGGGTCTCTGGAAAACAGCAATTGAATTCTGCAATCTACATAAGCTCGTACTTAGATCTTCATGAAAATACTACTCTTGTCATTGCTGTTACTGTGGAGAAGGTTTCTGGAAGAAACATCTATTTGAAGTACACCATGCTTTTCAGTTTAATATAATTTCTGGGTTTAAAAATTGCCATTACAAACCAATCTGCCTACTGCTATCCTTTGAAATGTGCTGTGAAAGGCATAAGGGAAGTGGAAAGAACTTGAAATTTGATTTTCCTCCAGTTACATGGAGAGCTACAATAATGATACCAGGGGCTACATTTTCAACCCTATTTCTCTTAACCAGGGAAGGTACAAGACTATTTCTTGGTTAATGGCTCCATGTGTTGGCAATTCCTGACTCAAAATGAACTAACACACCAAAAAAGTGTCATTTGAAAGGAAAGACAAGAGATGGGATGAAAGATGGTGATTTTGCAGTCAAAGCTAACCTATCACAGGACCGGGTCATTGTTGGTTTTGACGACAAAATTTAAAGGGGCATCTGTCACGGTGGGCATTAATCACAGAAATCATAAACTGTTTCATATGACTTCTCGGCAGGCCAATTAAATCACAGGTCTGTGGAAAGCATGTCAACCTCCTTTATGTAAGTTCTCCAAGAGAGAAATCATTGCTAGAACCAAACATATGTGGAATTTCCCTGATATGTTTCAATTTTTTAAATTTTAAATCCTGAGGACAAGACAGCTTAAAATGGCTTGACATCAGGACACAGAAGAAATAATGCTTGCTGAAGTCATAAAATGTGATTTTCAAAGGCACTGATAACTGTGACAGGAAACAAAACAAAATAAAGTGAAAAACAAACAAACCAAAATGTTTCAACCGGAGACCTCACGTTTGATGTGTTACAGGTCTCCTTTCAACGGGACACGCTGCTGTGTGTCACCGTCACTCACTAATTAAGAACTTTTGACAACTGGGAAAACATTTGCTTAAATGGGTGATCTGATGGTGGAAACGCAGGTTCTTCGGTCCCAGTTTTGCCTGCAGCGTGTCAGCTGGCTAGGGTGACCTTATACTTCAATGTAAACCGAAGGACTGGTGACAGAGAACGGGGACACTATTAATAATTACAGTAAGACAAGATGCAGAAACCATTGCAGCTCCTGCAGGCCAGCACAGATGGCCACCTATGTGTCGTCCAAGACTAGCCCTGTGCTCCTCAAGTTTCCAAATGTGAGCTGCGCGTAATAGTCCTGTCTGAGTTTGCCGGCACAGACCTCCTACGAGAAATGTAAGCATTAATTAAAGGTGTGAACCTTGTTAGAGCTGTGCCAGGAGCCTCAGCAACAGTTTCACATCAGGAAACACAAATTCCACAGTGTGACATTCTGTACGATTCATCCATCAAAACGGGATTTTGCTTTCTGTGTGGCCAGGAGGGAATCAGGTCACCATTTTTATCTCAAGCCTTCTCTCCGGAAGGTAACCAGTCACCCTGTCTTACTTGCATCCTTAAATCCCAGCTGCTCCGAGGGGAGCCGGCCAGCCCAGAGCAGTGAGGTGGCCCCGAGCCCCCCCCCCCCCCCCCCGAGTCTCTCTATTCCGATGTCTTGGAACTTTCTTCCCACACACCTCATACAAATTCCTCATGCGGTTATAAATATGAACTACACTTAGAGCCAATGTGTTAATACTTTAAGCATATTTGCTTTCTTTTCAAGAGAATCCATTGATGTTCATTTTTATTGGGGTTTCTTTTTATCTCTTTTAAATTGGAAGATGCTGGAGAGCAAAGGCCCCGTCTGCAGAGCACCAAGCTGCCCTGTGTGCAGCACGTGGACGGGAAACCCACTCCCAGCTCTGCCTCCTGGTCATCGCAGGCCAAGTCTGGACTCCAGGTGGCGACTTTTAAGTAAAAACTGCAACTTGTACAGCCCAGAGTGAACTAAACCATGACATGTTCCAGAGAGCTCCTAAAGGCCCAGGGTAGAATCCACGAGATGTGTCCCCAGACATAAAAGCACCCTGCTTGCTTCCTTGCTGAACCCTTTCAAAAGAGAGTATTTCACGAGGCCTCCCTGGAAAGAGATTTCCCTGGCCTTTTGTTCTGCCCCTGCCCATCTCCACATGCCCCCACCCTCACCCCAAAGCTGCAGTGAGCTGTGCAGGGGGCGCAGAACAACAGGGAACACATCGCAGGGCCATGAAATTGGGCCCATGTGGTTCACATCTCCCGATTGCCTTCCCCCATTTTGCAGAGGAGCAAACTGAGGTCTAGAGCGTTCATTCGAGTCACACGTCCATCTCTGCCATCTCCTAGTCAGCCTTCGCTTTGTTACACTTGCTGACTATTTAGGATCTTTTACCTCTTTTCTCGCAACGGCCTAGGGGACCCCTCAACTATTCTAATTCCCTTTGCTATGCTGAAATGGAGAATTACTATTTTCTAAAATCTCTCTCTTCTCAACCACAGAATCAGGCCTGGTACTGCTGGGGGGCATCACTGCCCCTCTGTTCATTGAGAGAGACCTGGTGTGTGA